TGAAGCTTATGGAGAGTATAAAAGTTTATGCAATAGTAATGGACTATATAAAGGAATAAAGGCCGGGCTTTCTCTCTTTTGAGTTTGTGTTGCATGTGTAAACCCTAAAAATATAATATATATAATTTGTGTCAAATAGCATGAGGTGAAGTGTTAGAGCCTAAAGAGGGGGAAAAAAAAAGAAATAACTTATAGCTTTTATTTATGACCTGGTTTAATTTAGCACATATATGTCAATCGAAATTAAGGACATTAATTTATTTATTTATTTATGTCCTTAATTATTCCTCTCATTTATTTCAACTTGTGCTTTCCCCAAAAATAAAATTCTGACCATAACATGAATACTGGCAAATTTTTATCCTTCTCATTGTCTTTTGTTCCTCTCCTTTAATCTCTTTCCCAGTTGCAAGGACACACCCGACATTATACCTTATCTCCATACCTGAATCCATTTCTATCCCTTTATAAATCGCAATCAAATTTCCTCACTTTTTCTTTTTTTCCCTTTCCTTTCTTTTTCCTTCTTAGTTAATATGTGGTTTGATTAGTAGCAAGATCAAAACTAGAACCATGTACAAGAATTATAGAACTTAGAACAAAAAATGTAAAAAAGTGGATAGAGTGGCTAAGCAGGCCTATAAATTAGCATAGCCGAGCTCGAGCTTATGGTATACTCGAGTTTAAGCTCAAGCCCTTAACGAGTCGAGCTCGTTAAATAAACGAGCCTAAAATCAAGCTCGAGCTTGGCTAATTTATCACTAGCTAATAACAAGCTGAGTTCGAGCCTTAACGAGCCAATCTCAAATTTTAACGAGTCAAACTATAAAAAATTATATAAAAATTCTCTTTTCGAGCCAAGTCGAGCTCACCAAACAAGATTTAAATGAGGTTGAGCTCGGCTCGTTCATCAAACAAGCCGAGTCGAACTCTAACCTTAACGAGTCGAGTCAGACTCGTTTAATTTAATAACACTATTGTGGAGTGTGTGTCTAGTTTATTAAGTGTGATAATTTTAAACAAAAAATCATTGTGAGACTTTGCATACCTTTGCGTATCAGTGACTCTTCGAGAATGATCGGATTGAGTA